CCCATGTCATGTGCGGGGCTCTGTAAATTTAGGATCAATAACTTCTATAACAAGAATTTGCCTGTATTTTGTAATAAAGCAAATTTGTAAATAGAGCAATCAATAGTCTACGTTACCCGAAAAATTCCCATACGACTGACTTCATCTTTTTCGACGGGGGAAAAAGTTCCAGGGATTCATCTCCTTCGGCCATCTTACACACAGGTGACTCCGCTCGCACCAACCGGAGGGGGAGGGGTCATGTGACTCGCTACGCTCTTCGCTGCACACAGCTGAGGGAGTCCTGCACTTTCCGTCTTTGACGACACGTAAAAAAACTGCGCATACCGCAGGAACGGTATAACGGAAGATTTTAGTGGTTTTGAAACCGTGACTTTTCCAAACCGCGGTATACCTTGAAACCGGTTATCGTCCCATGCCTATTTGTGACTGTCAGTGGACACTCGGATGCTGGTTAGATTATTTTATAACTATCCTCCTTTTTCAGTTTCTCCAGATCCCAAGCCTGAGCTGAAAACTCTAAAGTGGGCCATATCTCAATTTGCATCTGTGGAGCGGATTATGGGTGAAGATAAATATTTCTGTGAGACCTGTCATCACTACACAGAAGCTGAGAGAAGTCTTCTGTTTGACAAAACACCAGAAGTCATCACAATCCACCTGAAATGCTTTGCTGCCAATGGCTCCGAGTATGTATCCTCTACAGATTTTTAATGCTTAGTTCTAGAGCTGCACGATTCTGGATAAATTGAGAATCACAATTTTTTTTGTCTGAAATAGAAATCACGATTTTGAACTTAACAAAATAATGTGCAATTTACTAGAGGCTGTGACAAAGTATTAATTGCTGCAGTCTATTTAAACGTGTTTAATTAATTTAATTATTATTTAAAAAAAAATATATATATTAGTTCTGGGCAACGATTAACATTTTTTAATCGGGATTAATCGCATTATGCACAAAATTCAATGAATTCAAAAGTAGTGTATTGTGCACTTTTTCATTTAAAAGTACTGCTATATGAACAAAAGTGCAATAACATTTGGTTTGCAAACACTTTAAACAAAAAAGATGTTTTTTTACAGCAGTATTCCTTTTACAGAGTAGCAGTTAAAATATTTCTTGTAAATTTCAACTTAAACATTAATGTAATCAAATTAAATATCGATCATAACATTATAACAGGCACCTTCCGAGTAGAGACCTGCACTATCGCGGGACCTAACGCAACGGAGACAACACTTGATGGACGAGAGCGGGTGGGATGCGGGACTCACACTAGGCAATCTTAACCGTGCCCAAGCGCGTTTGTCCCCCAAAGCCCGGTTTGTTTGACTAGTGTGATCGCTCCGTGCCGTGCGCGGTTCGTTTAGCCATCCCTGGCTCAGTTGGAAGAGGTGGGCCAGAGCACGGTTCAGTTGGGCTTGGGCGCAGCACGCATGCAGTGTGAGCGCTAACCGCACCAGAGTGCAGAACTTCTGATACGTGCAGCATGATTGCGTATATACAGTGGGTACGGAAAGTATTCAGACCCCCTTAAATTTTTATATAGACAGGTGTGTGGCTTTCCTAATCAAGTCCAATCAGTATAATCAAACACAGCTGGACTCAAATGAAGGTGTAGAACCATCTCAAGGATGATCAGAAGAAATGGACAGCACCTGAGTTAAATATATGAGTGTCACAGCAAAGGGTCTGAATACTTAGGACCATGTGATATTTCAGTTTTTCTTTTTTAATAAATCTGCAAAAATGTCAACGATTCTGTGTTTTTCTGTCAATGTGGGGTGCTGTGTGTACATTAATGAGGAAAAAAAATTAACTTAAATGATTTTAGCAAATGGCTGCAATATAACAAAGAGCGAAAAATTTAAGGGGGTCTGAATACTTTCCGTACCCACTGTATATTGTGAGAGGGCCGTGTGTTACCGCGTTCCAAACTACTCAAATTAATAAACCACAATTTAGTTAACAATACGATGCACTCCACTGTGCTGAGTTAGAGTGCTTCTCTGCTGTCTTCACGTGCTATCGGAAACTTATGAAGTCATGATTACGAGAACGTTGCATTCTTTTCTGTTAAAAACAGTGAACAGTGGTTTGTGAATGTTGATTCTTAGCCTAAATAATTTTATCTGGATCATTCATGTGAGCGCTGCTGCAGTCAGGCCCACCCCAAGTGCTCTCATTGGTTGTGACGCGCAGGGCCATTTTAACCATAGGGCTAGGCGGGGCTGAAGCCCAGGGGCCCGAGCAAGGAGGGGGCCCGTGTTTGGCTGTGGAGTAGATTGACTGGAGTGCCGATCGCCAAAGCGATTGAGTAGTTGAGCTTTTCCGTAAATTCCATGCATTACCATTTGAAATTGAAACTTAAAGTCTGAATTTGGTTTACCAATCAATTGCATTTATTCTATATTCGACTTTTGAACGATATGCGCACGCATCTATTAGGTGATTGCTTCCCAGTATGTCTGCATTCACCTCTCTTCACTTTGTTCTGGAGTAATCTGGAAATGGTCGCGCAAAGAACAACATTCAGTAAGTAAAAATGTCAGCAATTCTAAAAGAGAGAGGGGCTCAAAAAACAAAAAACTTAAAATACAAACAACATAAAAAACATGACTTAGTAAATTCCTCAGGTTATTTTACTAAAGCTGATGATGGAGTGGAAGTTGCTGGAACAGCAAGTGAACCGGGCACATGGAGCAGATAAGAACAGTGTCATCGTCCACACAGATTTTAGGTTAGGATGGGGGGCCCTGCAGTAAGTCATAGCCCCGGGGCCCAGTGCGGTCTTAATGCGGCCCTGGTGACGCGTGATGACACTCATCCCAATCCAGTACTGATCAACATCCCACTCCCCCTGTGACCCATGGTTTGTCTGTGTATTCAGAGCCAGTGAGCAACGGACTTCAAAATAATAATAATAAAAAAGAACTGTGTTAATGCGCGATAATAATTGTTGGAATTAATTAATGAGTTAACGCGTTAACCTGCCCAGCCCTAATATATATACAGTGCTGCTTGAAAGTTTGTGAACCCCTTGCGGAATCTGAAAATGTGAGTCATTTTAACAAAATAAGAGAGATCATACAAAATGCATGTTATTTTTTATTTAGTACTGTCCTGAGTAAGATATTTTACATAAAAGATGTTTACATATACACCACAAGACAAAACAATTGCTGAAATTATTCAAATAACCCCATTCAGAAGTTTGGGAACCCATGGTTCTTAATAATACTGTGTGTGGTTACCTGAATGATCCACAACTGTTTTTGTTTTGTGATGGTTGTTCATGAGTCCCTTGTTTGTTCTGAACAGTTAAACTGAGCACTGTTCTTCATAAAAATCCTCCATATCCTGAAGATTCTTCCGTTTTCCAGCATCTTTTGAACCCTTTCGAGCAGTGACTGTTTGAGATCCATCTTTTCACATTGAGGACCATTGAGGGACTCAAACACAACTATTAAAAAAAGGTTCATTCACTGATGCTCCAGAAGGAAACACGATATACACAGTACACACATTATGTAAACAAGAACTTTATTTATTTTGGATATGATTGTTTGACAGCACACACACACATATATATATATATATATATATATATAATAAACACTTGTCAATATTAAAATTACGTTCAATGACTCACTCATAAGTCCTTACTGGATGAATCAGCGTTTTTGAACGAATCTCGTCAATGAACAATTCAATGACAAATACATTTTTTAAGTCACTTGTCGCCACCTAGTGGCAAACCAATGTAATCGACACAAACGTTGCTTTCAAAAGGTGATTTGCTAGATTTTGATCGCCATCATAGACATCAGTGTTTATATCCGAACTATAAACTTTCATCCCATTATTTCTGTGATCATATGAATGATTGTAAGACAGAAATAATACTTTGTGATTGAAAAGACTGTTTGTGAAGCTGTTTCTTACCTAAACATGCATGCTCTCTGTCTCTGTGTCAGTGGCAGCACGAACGCAGATTTGAATTTTCCGGTAAGACTTTTTCAAAGATTTAATAGACGAGTGTCATCCTTTAGAAATTAGATCGCTTGGGTGTTTGAATCGAGATTGCAATCTTTTAACGATTAATCGTGCAGCTCTACTTAGTTCCTATCTTTCAACTATGGAAGCCCTGAAGGGCACAGTGAATTGCCCACAAGTCTGTTTCCATTGTTTATTACAGCAGAAACAAATACAGGAAACATTAAGACTCTGAGAAATAAGGGTAAAAATGTTTAGGATTTAGCAACTTGAGACAAAATATTTGATTCAGTCTTGTTGAAGTTGCCAATGTGCATTAAGAAGTTAGTACAATCTTCCTCAATCTTTAGGATGGATCCTTATGCTGGCCTTTCCAAGGTGAATACTCCTCTGCAGACCCCTCTCAAGCTTTCCCTGCATGAGTGGTGCACTCAGCCTGATTCTCCAGACCAGAGCCATCACTACGAGCTCTTCGCCGTGGTAATGCACAGCGGAGTAACCATCAGCAGCGGTCACTACACCACTTGCATCCGCATGATGGATCTCCATCGCACCACTCTCAGGCTTCAGTCTCAGGATGAAGATCAAGACCGAGACCGAGAGGAAGACACGAAACAGAAGAAAGAGGAGGTACTTCAAACAGAGTACGATGACGGTGAGGTGTCTTTCAGCTTGCCTGGCAGGGGGCAAAATGTGGCCAGAGTCAGCATGTCCAGCAAATCAGGAAGCAAGAGGTCCTCCGAGGGTGTTGGGCTTTTAGGAGGACAGAGAAGCGTCACCAGTTATGAGCTTAGCAACAGCAATCAAACCAATCCAGAGAAGACTTCCGGCTCGGCCAGTCGTGCCGCCGGTTCTTTGCTTCATAACACAGTGAAGAAAGAGACCGAGGAAGAGGGAGTTGATGCTATGGGCGACGGGACCCAGGTGAGTTTTGACCTCGCTCTGCGGAACCTTTTGGACTTTGAGGGAAAGTGGATGCTGTTTGATGACTCCGAAGTGAGACTCTTTGAAGAAGAGGACTTCCTCAGAGCCTGTTCCCCCGAGACATGCTCCACCTCTACACCTTACCTGCTCTTCTACAAGAGAGTCTCTCAGTAAAAACAGCCGAAGGGACTCGGTTACGAAGTTTTACTGGCAAGACGTGGACTATGAAAGTACGTTTGCAGGCAACTGGAAAAGCAAGTCAGGATGTGTTAATAGTCGATATGTATGTTTGTGTAACTAGTGTCAGTGAAAAGCCGATGTGAATCTTTCAAGGCCATGACATTTGTTGCCACTTTTTTGTTTGACTGTTTTTGTACTTTATCTTCTTGTTCAGTGAGTCCATGTCATCTGCTTTTCAGTGACCCTCATGCAAACGCGTACCTTGGCACTTATTGCAGCAGTGCATGTGACAGTTTTCCTATACTTTCAAGCATTCCATAGAAGCTCCAATAAATAGCACAAAATGATTTCTTGTGCACTGAAATTTTATATATTTTTTAAAAAGATAAATTCTGGCTTGTTTGGGTTTTGTCTCAAGTATGAATTCACATTTTTGATGTCCATTTTGGAGGGTATTATTAATAGCTTAAAAACCCAAAGTAGATTTCTAATTTTTTAATCTCTTCATTTTTTGATACTAGAAAGCACAGGCAATGTGTTTTGTTTCCCGCTGCAGACTATATGCACAGAGAGAATCAAATTTAGGTGGGCAACCTCGAAAGTACAGAGTGTATAATTTGTCTATAAATGACCACAGGGATAAAGTGACCTATTTTTCTAGGTTTATAGTTTATCAGCCATACTTCAGTCCAGTCTAAGAAGCTTTTCTTTCCTATGTTGTGAGCAGGCCCTGCTATTACACCAAGATCTCTATGAGCAATTAATAAAACAATTCACGAGAATCTCTTACATTCTGTTGTATATTTGAGGAGGCAGGGAAAATGTAATTATTTTTCTATTACCTGGTTATGTAGATTCTTATTTGCCACATTAAAATACCAACATATAAAAATAAAAGTCTTTTGGTGCGGTTTCTTTAACAACACATTGGAATGGCTATTAGAGTATTTATTTAGTAAAATATTTAAAGTAAACAAAAGGTACATAAAACTACATAATGCCGAAAAAAAATTCATCACCTTTTTTGCTTTTTCTGTAAGGATTAAATGAACTTAAGTTGTACCGTAACTATTAAAAATGCACTGGGATGAAGTAAAAAAAAAAAAAGTGCACAGAGTAATAGAATACAGGTTTTGACAAATTGTATGCTAAATTCATCATCACTTCTTGTGATCATGTAACAGGCCATTTTGTAAACTAATACAAAATTGGAATGATGTACCAAACGTCTTAACACTTATCTCTTTTTACTTTATGGCAGAAACACTGATATTGTGAGGAGGACTGATATATACAAATAAATAAAATTGCATTTGTTCTTTTTATTTCTTCAATCTTCACACGTCTAGCTTGCGAAGGCTCATTCTGCTAAAAGAGTCTCTGAAAGAAAAAGAAAAACTTTTAATGTCATAAAACGAATAAAAAACAAAACTTTAACGGTCAGCAAACTATTTTAAAAATATGCTCGCCAACAACTTGACTACCTTCTCAAGCTGTCCTTTTGCTGCTTGTTAAAATGGAAAAAAGAAATTAAGTACATTTAAAACACCCACACCTTTTTGGACAATTATGTAACACATTATCCATGTGTCATCCGTTATGAGAAACTAACTAATCATGCATTGCTGTTGATGAACTTCACTAAATAGACCAGGCTATGAAGGCCCATTTCCTGACTGTAGTAGGCCTCAATTCGATTTGATTCAATGATGGAATTTCTATGCATTCTGCAATATTTGCAGTACAATTTAAATCACAATTTTGCTTTCATATGAAACAAACTGAGCAACTGTTGTGTACTTTACAGTGAACCATTTGACTTGTATTAATAAAATATTAATGGCCCTTTGATTCAAATATTAAGGCTTGAAGGGCTTAAGGAGGAAACTCCCATTATTCATTCATTCAAACGTAGTTTGGTAAACCAAGTTGCTGCAGTAAGCTGGTTTATCGGGCGCAAGGTGACGTATACAGGACATTCTTAACAGCTTTCGACAATTTTAATTGTCTGACCTGTGTGAGTTCACCTGTAACACAGGTTTGTAGAGTTGTGGGATCTTCCTGTTAATGAGAGGCTGCAGAGCTTCTTTCAGTCTGTGGTAGTTCCTCTCCAGCTCTCTCTGATACTCTTTCTGGTCTGGACCAATCAGACTCTTATTTTTGCGAAGGGCATCTTCACATCTAGGGGAGTTATTGAAGGTTGCAGGGTTAACAGTCAGTTCACCCTAAGGCCATTTCGGTAATGTTACGTGGCATTTACCATGCAGGCATTTCAAAGTTCTAATTGTATTACTGACCACTGTATTATTACCATTTAACTGTTAAAAAAACATGTCATGCAACCATACAAAAGCAGCAACATTTACATGGACTGCAATAGTTCAATTATTTTTGGGATAATAGTTGATCTATATACATATAGTAATGCTTCATTATAAATGTGATGTAAAAAGTCATGGTTAGTAGTTGGACTACTGGAGTCCATGTTAATGTAGTGTGAGAGCATCTGGAATCAAACCTCTTGGTGAAGTCTTTGAAGCACAGTCGCAGTTTATTATGGTGCCTGTAGAGTTTAGGATCACTTGGGATCTCAGACAGAAATACCTGGGCCACCTCAAGAGGGCCCTATAGAGAAATACAATACATACATAGGTTAGAATCATTCAAATGATTTACTAATTTCACCAATGATACAAAAATGTTTGTATATATATTAATATACAAACATTTATGTGTGTGTGTGTGTGTGTGTCTGTATAAGGTTGTGCGATATATATATATAGTCTGCGATATCGTAATTGTTGTTTTAACGATATATATATCGTTAATTTATATCGTCAATATATATATATCAAATACCTGCCTGGTGCATTATCTATGTGGACAACTTGAGCTAATCTCACCAAATCTTGTGGTCCAGGGCTTACAATATATATATATATATATATATATATATATATATATATATATGTTTTTTTTTTTTTTTTGTCTGCCCCAAGTATTTAAGTAACTACATTTGTTAAATAATGGGAACTACTGCATGGCAATGAAATATATTACACATTCTGGAGGCTGAATTTCCAGATGTTATATGTACCGTTACTGTGTCATCAAGTTGCTCAAATTAATCCAGAAGATAACAACAGTGATATTGCATCTGTATTATTAAGTGAATAGGCTCAACTAGTCACCTGGTTAACAGTGGTGCCAACAGACCCCTGCAGAACCATCTGTAACATTTTGGCATCGGATGGGTCTTGATGAGTGGCAAAAGCCAGCTCCTGTGTCTTCTTCTGCATGTCCTCAATGGCTACTTCAATAGGCGTGGAAATTATCTGAAAGGCAAATAGTAATATATCAATATCTTCCCTTAACCTTACGAAAACACTGTGGCATTCAGTGTTATTGTTAACTAAAACCAAAACTATTAATAAATGTTTTGTTAACTGGAAGCTGAAATCAAATAATATATATTTGCTGAAGTATTGATATATATTTATATAACCTAAATGACTAATTACTAAAATTGAAATAAAAAATAAAGCTAAATAGAAATATAAAAATAAATAAATAAAATAAAAATGACAAAAGCACATAAAATTACTACAACTTTAAAAAGAAAACTAAAAAAATAAATAATGCAAATTGTTAAAAAAAATACTATAATTAATACTAAAATGACACTGGGCATTACTATGGTATACCATGGTATTAAATTAACAAGTACTACACTCATATTCCATTAGCTATTTAAATGATCTTGATACTTTTGATGTAATTTTCATCTAGCATGAAAAACTATACAAGCTTTCACAATGCATGTTTGTGAGTTACCTCCTCTTTATGGATGATGTTGATGCGGGTCTTGATGTAGGGGAAAGCGTGGGAGGTAGTGAGAATGGTCTTTCGTTTAAACTGTTCGTGCAGGTCACCATGAGCTCTTCCGTCGAGTGTGAACGGCGTGCAGTAGACGAAGCGGCGCAGGTTGTAGTTCTTATCGAAGTACGTGATGCGGTCCTTCATTTCATAAGTGTCAAAATATGGTTCAACGTACGTGATCTGAATGAAGGCCTGTATTGGAAAGTGATGTTATTTCTCAATGCAAAGTATTATCGTTTATTGTTTTTAAAACGGAGCACAAATTTTGCAGCATAATGCAGTATTTCAACGCACCTTATTTGGGTCCAATTTACACTTGTCAACTGGATTGGAATCTTTAATAACTTCCACTTGGTCCTCACCAAACCTTTCACCATAGAAACTCTGGAATTAAGACAAAATTAACAAATTAAGAGAGGTTATGTATGTGTATGATACAAATTGCTTATCTAATAAAACGTGAAACAGAAAATGCAAATGGTTTTGTACCTCAAGCCGATGTGAGATTTCTGCCAGCTTGGTGATGGCTGGCTCTTTGTAGACAAACTCCTGCTCATCCAAGTCACCCAATTTAGAACCATAAAATCCAACTCTAAAATAGGTGCCAAACATCCGCTTTCCATCCTGAAACAAACAAATGTGTTAATTACTAATGTGCTGTTAATTAAAGCTGCCATTTAAAAACACCAGATAACACGGAAACATAAATCCTGTTGGTTCTCATTTGACATATGTCATGGGTTTACACTTTAAAACAGTTACTCATAAAGAAAGGTAAAGTGCAATGAGGCAAACACAACATTTTCTCATGGCAGCAAGTTATCAAGTGACAGCAGCAATGTAAACATTGTCTGGTACATGTTTACATAAATAACCTGCATTCAACACTGGCAATAGTGATGCAATTATATAACGGTGAAATACAGCAAAATACAGCCACTGCTAATACAGTATCATTATTATAGTAGTAACATCTACCATTTGAGGATATTTGACACAACCTGATTTCATTTATTATTATTATTCCAAATTTCTATATAGTTTCTCGATGTTACACTACCATTCAAAAGTCTGGGGTCAGTACGTTTTTCTTTGAAAGAAATTAATACTTAAGAAAATAATAATAAATGTTGTTCTTGTAAAAAATTCCACAAACATTAAGCATCTTAACCGTTTTCAACATTGATTTGATACTAATAAGAAATGTTTCTTGAGCAGCAAATCAGCATATTAAAATGATTTTTGAAAGACCATGTGACACTGAAGACTAGAGTAGTGGCTGTTGAAAGTAAAATATATTTTAAAGGGGTCCTATTATGCTCTTTTACAAAGTCTTGATTTTGTTTTGGGGGTGCACTAGAACAGGCTCTCATACTAGGTTGTTCGAAAAACATTATTTTTTCACATATTTTACATTATTACAGCGCCTGCGAGCTTCAGGGTAAATATTGCATCAAAATCAAATCAATTTGAGCGCGATTTAAACCCGGATGATTGTAACCACTCTAATGGCGCTTTTCCACTGCGTGGTACAACTCGGCTCGGTACGGCACGGCACGGTTCGCGTTTCCACTGCAGTTCAGTACCGCTTTAGAGTGGGCGGGATTATTCACATGTCGTTATAGTTGCGCCGCCTCTACTACCACGACTCCTAAAAAAAAAACGTTTTCATTCTGCATCGCCCCATCAAGCTCTCGCTGGATCCGCTCCTCTGCTATCAACGAGAGGAACGTCTGTACTTCCGCAACAGACAACAAAAGTTTTTGGTTGTTAAAAAAAGGTGCGCTCGTTCAAAACAGTTGCGTTCGATCCTTCGCTGGCTGTGCTGATTTAAATCTAGCGGTTCTGTTGTGTTTGTGTCGGAAGTTCAGTGACGCAGGTAGTGACGATTCTCTCCGGCCAATCCGTGATCAGCAGAGTTTACACATCACGTTTTGGTAACGGTATGGTTCGCTTGGAACCCCAACCGAAGTGGTACTAAAAAAAGTACCAGGTACCAGGTACTGTACCCAGTGGAAAACCCCCCAAAAGTGAACCGTACCGTGCCGTACCATGCAGTGGAAAAGCGCCATAAGTTCATCTGCCTTGGGAAAGCTAGCGTGTCTCCGACATAGTGATAACACTCGTTGCCTTCTCTAGTGCAGCTCAACCAGGTCTCGTCCCATTCGCCGATATTTGTGATGTCACAAATCCCAGAAAATATGCGTTGTAGTCCAAACGAGTCATTCGTTGTAGTTTTTGAAAAGTGATTTCTGTTAAATAAAATTTCTCCTTTTGAAGTGGACTTTGAGCTTTGTAACTTTGCAGATCCTTTTTATGCTCAAACAGCAACATTACAGACTAACTAAAGTTGAAAAAGCATAATAGGACTTTTAAAGGGGTCATGACATGAGAAATCAAATTTGCCTTGATCTTTTGGCATATAAGAGGCCTTTGCACTATTAAAACATCCTGCAAGTTTCATAGCTTACATGTCCTCCTTATTATAAACAAAGCATTTATTTAATCAAGCTCCAAAAACGGCTCGTTTTGGATCTGAGATGCAAAACAAACATTTGCATAAACACTGCCTTCAGAGCAAGGCGTTGACGAATAGTCATCTTCTCATCATAGACCCCGCCTACTGGCGTTCAGTCGCTTTAACGGCTTGACACTTGATCACGCTGAATGCGAGTATCGCGATGCGTCAGAAGCAAATAGAAATTACAATCACTGCCGCTTAACTTGTCTACACTGGATACAGTATACAGACGCGCGTTTGCTTTCTGACACGGTCCACATGTTTGAGTCTGTCGTCAGTAGGACAAATGGAGTGAAAGAACGTTCGCTTTAAAGCATTTGGTTTAAACAGCTTCCTCGCGTCTTTGTACAGATATCAGAAGGATCCTAGCGTAACGAACAATTGGATAGTTTATTTTTAATGGCATCCCGGATCGTGTCTGAGGATTTTATTTTGTAAACGAGGCACGGTGTGATGGAGAGTTCACAAAGAAACATTTGATGAAGCGGAACTGGATCAGACTGCAGCTGCATCACAAACCGTAAGTAAATGATTTCATGATGCTTTGTCTGGAAATGACTGTTTTTTTTTTTGATGTTGTCAAAACACTCACATTGTGTTGCGTTGATACTGTTTCCTATGCAATGACTTTAGCCAATCATAATTCCAGACCAGCCTTAAAGGACCCGCCTCTTAAAACAAGTCATTTTAGAGAGAGGGTCCGAATGAGGGTTTAAAATAATAATTTTTCCACATATTTGTTTTTTTTTGTGAAAAACATTTTTTTTATTAACATTACAAGTAAACCGTAAGGAACATATTAAAATAAAAATAAAAACCATGTCATGACCCCATTAAAATAGAAAATGGCCATCTTAAATTGTAATAATTAAGTTGCAATTTCACAATATTACTGTTTTTTTTTTTTTTACTGTATTTTTTATTTATTAAATGCAGGCTTTCTGAGCTTATTTCAAAACCATAACTTTTTATAATGGTATATATTAGCATTATTAGCCATTAAAAAAAAAAAAGAAGAAGAAAGTGAGCATCTCCACATAAGACACAAAATCTGAATATAGTTTGAGTTTGAGCCAAGCTTGAGGACAGTGGTGCAAGAAGTGGGAAATTTCTCTGTAAACTGTATTAGCATAGGATGACATAACAGGAAGAAGACCAGAGGCAACCTGATGTCCTTAAAGAGTAAGTTAACAACTGTACTCCAAATAAGAGACAAAGAACGGAACATAAGTAGCCAGCTCCTTGTGAGAAAGTAAACGTGCTGCTGAAGCCTAATACAGAACGTCAAACTGAAACACTTATGTCAATAGAAATAGAATGTCAGATAGAATTAGTACGTGCTGGAGTAACAGGGTAGGTCATAGAAGCACAGTAAGGAAAAAGAGTGGTGGGTATATATGTACAGAGCCGGGAACATGTCTGAGTGCACAGGAAGTGACGTATTAATCAGATGCAGATAAAGGCTGAACCAAAGCAGACCAACCATACAGCCCAAATTTAGATAACGAGATGAAATATTTTCCATAATGATTCTCTTAATTTATGCCATATATCACATCTATCATAAGTGAAGTAACACATTAAATTATATATATATATATATATAGCTGTTCAAAATGGGTGTAAACAAATTATCAATAAGCCTAAATGAAAAACTAGTTAAATAGAGCATTCGAGTTAAGTAAGCATATTTAAATGAGTCAAAACATTGTATAAATAAATAGCAAGGAATAAAAGATGCATAAAACTGTGAATGATGGACATTCCAGTTCTGCGGAAATGTGTTGAGTTTTCTGCTTATGAATTTCAGATTGTGTGGGCCTGGATACCAGGTGTCTGAGATGGTTCAGCCCCTCTCTGGTTCATTGCGAATGTTTTTTTCAGTCATAAAAGTCATGGAAATAAACCCTCGGACTATGAACTTACCACAAGACACAATAATTAAAGTGGGAAGAGGAGGGGTCAGCAACCAGGGAAATAAAAAAGGAGAGAACAGAACATTTTAATCAGGAAACCAGGAAACTCTTTGAAAGACTAACAAAACACGTACACACAAAACAAACAACCAGCAATACTACCATGAATCAATGCTTAAAGAAAAAAACACGCAAACACAAAAGACTAAAACTCAAAAACAAGCATGAAATGAAGAAGCAGCAGGCAGAGAAAAGTGCATTAAGGGTCTTTATTAAACGGACAGTTGTAATGCATTCCTGGTATAATGCTGCAATAAGTGTCAAATTATGAAGGTTTTGTGGAGTCGTTGCCATGCAATAAATCAAAGTGAGATTAATGCTAGTATACAAACAAATTGGTGTAAATTAGAACTCAGGGGTCGATTTAGTTTGCAATGAAATAAAAAACTCGTATAAAGAGAAGGTCAGTTGGACATCACTTTGAATGTAAATGTTTTGAAACGATGCTCACCATGATGTCCCTTTAGAGGAAAAACAAGCATAATTTATGAAAAAAAAAGAAAAGAAATAAAAGAATTCTGCATAGTCTCCAAAAAAGCATCTAGCCCTTATTCAATCTTCAGCTGATTTTGTAAATAGATACCATAATTAATAATTTTGTCATTGGTTACTCACACTCATGTAATTCCAAACCTGTATGATGTTCTTTCTTCTGTGGAACACCAAAAATGTATATTTGAAGACTATCCTAGTTGCTATTTTATTTTTATTTTATTTTTTTAGATAAAGCCCAATAGTACTCTACTTTTTCAGCAACGTTGGCTCCGGAAGTATTTTCACATTCATTTTTCCCCCATAGTGATTTAATAATGATTACCAGCTGCGAGGTGAAAATTTCACATTTTAATTTGAAGTAAAAAAAAAAAAAAGTGGCAACTGGACAAAACGACAAAGGTACAAGTTTGTGTACTTACGAAGAAAAGAACTATAATCCCAAGAAGGACTGCAAATGACAACCAAATGAAAAATATAATTATTATATTATAAAAAATTTAAATATAAATTCATTCATTTAAAAGTTGTTCAGTATAGAAACAAAGTTTATTGCAAAATATGCACATATATACACAGTATGAATATTTAATTATTTTGAGAGCATAGGGAGGGCTGACTCTTATGTCATTCGCACTGCTTCGTGTTTTTTTTTTTTTTTTAATTTCA